GTGCGTGCAAAAACTACTGGAGCATGACCATCGTATTTATGGTAAAAACTGGGTACGGCGACGTTTTTGCAGCGATCTGTTATGGAGGCGTTAGGATCAAAGAGAAGTATTCATGCTGTTTCAATCGGGTGCTTGCTGGGCGCCTCGATATTGATGCACGCGCTTCCATTGATCGCACCGGTGTTTAACAAGCCGAAACGGAACCAGCACGCAACGCTACGGTTGAAGAAAGCTGTAGGTGGGAGCCCACCTGTTCTCTCAAAGCGGCACTAGAGAGAAAGAAAGTCTACCCATGTCAAATATGTGATGTGGAGACTCCGGCAGTTTGAGATCCATATAGTTACACGACTCAACTAACAGCATCGCGCTCTAGTGCCATGCTGGCAAAAATTGAAACTTGCGTTGCTTGAAACGTTACCTGGACGAAGGCCCTTTTTCATACAAAATGCACCTATTGAAACAGCTATAGTATTCAGGGCAAGGGTGCAAAATGTCTGACTGCGCTTGGGTGTTGACTGGGACACCGCCGCCATGCCAAATACAAGTGTATTGGACGGCGTCCATTTCAGATCTCCAAACCCCACAACAAAGCACATCATTTTCTTGAAGTCAAGATCAAACGAGCTCCTACACCACTGCATGGGAGACTTTTCCGCCACCCAGCGGAGAGCGGCGTGTGCGGTGGATTTTCTATGACGTCATCGGCTTCCCAGCGGCCGAGCGGTCGCGGTCGCCGCGCGCTGACGGGTGACCTCTTGACCCTGGATCGCATTGACCCTATCGCATTCCCTGCAATCAGCGTCGTATTATTCTGCTGGAGAGCCTCGCATGCAGAGAAGGCAGCGGCACAGCAGCAATCTGTGTACATAAAGACCACACTAGCGATCAGGCCTGTGAGAGATAGCCGGCATGATTTTCCACCTAATCAGCATGTGGCAGAGCCACTGAAAACGGGTTTCCTCTCCGTGTTTTTGAAACAAGCCCTCCTGTAAAAAGGCAGCTGTGTAATCGCCTCATGTCGCGGCATGATGTCCGTCTTTTTTAACAATATTTCGACGTCATTTGTCACAGCCGATAGTGGATTTGGCTGGACGTTTGTGATAAACTTACTGGGACCATGCCTTTTGTGTACATGCACATTTTTTAAAATCCTAAAATCGCTGCCTGAAAACATAACTGTAACCGCAATTTACTTGTTTCGACGCGTGTAGCGTCTGCAGCCACAGTGTAGATAAACCTTTTAGAAAAGGACAGCAGCTAACTCAATATCGTAAATGCAAACTAAGCAGCTGGGTGATCCACATTCTCTCCTGTTTCGAGGAAACATCATGGATAACGTTATTTTGCTCCGATTCGTATTTGCGCATACTCTCTTGATAAGCTTTCCAACCTGGCATAGCTTGCTAGCTGGCCACAATGCTGTAAAAGTCAGTGTACACCGGGCGAGGCACTGTAATCAATCATCGCGTGCTTATGCATTGGACTCAGTCAACCATCTGGCGATGAGATGAAAAATTTAATGAATGTATATATATATATATATATATATATATATATATATATTATATATATATATACCTAAATGAAAAACATGCCCTGATTTTATGTGTTTCATTAACGGAGTCATGTGTGAAAACCGTTTGGTCAAAACACATGAAATTATGTACCATTATACCCATATTGAAATCAGAAACACATCTACGTAAGTTTTGTGTCACCACAAGGCATTGGCTCGTAGGTATTGCGTTAAAAATCTGTAAAAGTACGTTTTTATGGGCAATTTGACTTGACCTGCCACAACGGAGTCAATCCTTGACCTAACAAGATAATAAACTTCCGAAAATCGCAAGATCTCATAGTGAAATATTTGGCTTTTTTAAGCTTTATGTTCCTTGGTTTGGAAACTCCAGAGGGTCGCAGGATCGCCCCCCCCCCAAATCTCTCCCTTTCTATCAGTCCGCGTTATGGAAAACGGTGAATCAGGGTGAGGGTAAAGATACCTGAAATACATTCCCATGATTCCGTAAATGTTTTGCATCAATACCTGTATCAAGGTGACTTTTCACTTTTCATGCTATGCACAGATGAAATGCGAACATGTTTTCTTCCAGCCTGTATGTAGGATGCATCACGGAACACCTTTGCACAAACAAGAAAGGAATTGAGCTCCAGAGGTTTTCGGAATAAGTTTGGAGCTCTTAAGCTGACTCGCCTTCAATATGTCAGGACGCACTGGTGATATGATGTTATCAGGCAAACATTGGTTGTATTGTCAAAACGCGACGTTTCATGCTGTGCCCTGTAGTCACCGGAATGTGCCTTGGGCATGATATTATTGTGTTTGTACTCATGGCTAGCAATATAAGCTAGCCAACAACAAAGTTTTACTCTGGTTTTCCGGTATCATGTCTGGCTCGTATGCTGTCAATAATGCATTGTCAATAAAACTGGAGTGTTTGGTTAAGCAAAACTATCTGGCACACATAATTTGCTTAACCCTTGTGACCACAAACACTGCTTGCAACGGCCAGTTTTGACTATAGAGTCAATGCTGGCCTGATGACGTCGTTTCAACAGCACCTCCTGGTGTATAAAAGGTCGATTATTCTGACCAAAGGAACAAAATTAAGTGTTTATGTGTTTTGTGTCGCGCTCTAGAGCAGGCTCTTGCCATTTATATGTGACACTTTCTTGCCACAGTGTATCCAGAATAAGTCCTAATGTTTCAAATAACACTCTACGTGACGGATGTAGAGCACTTAAGTACTGGGCTGCCTGTGAGTCTCTCTTGCTCTTTTCATCTCACCCTCACGCATGAATCCCCGACAGGTTTCCACACTCGCTCTCATCGTCGAGGCAGGCTCGGGAGCCGCTTTGATCCCTCTCTCCGCTGCCGCGATCTGCCCTGAGTGCCGGGCTCCCTGCGCCACCGCACGAAGCCTTTGTCGCCGAGCTGAATATCCGGGTGTCGCTCGCCCGCGGGCCGATCGCTGCTGACAGGATCTCCGGGCAGCCGAGCAGGCCTGAGAGCCACTTCAGACTCCGCCACCGACACCGGGCCTCCTCCGGTCGCGGAGACGTCGCCCTGGAGCTGGCCCGCCGCCGCAGCCGCGAGATCAAAGGTCACGAACCGAGCGCCGTCTGCAGGCCATGATTGTGCCGGTCGGCAGTAAAACCAACGCTACAGGATGTGTGTGGACTGCACGGCCGTTGTAGCACAAACCGGCTGGACCATGGCCTGCTGCAGAGGACACCGAGCAGGCGCT